TTATGATGCAAGCGCCAAAGAAACATGTACAAGTGTAAAGCCGCTTAAGATGTCCCCAAGGCCTGAAACCCTAGCCAGGCCGAGATGGAGGAAGCCCACAGTAAGGTCCACCGCTGCCCCCGCCTGGGCTGGCTTCTTCTTTTTGATTCTTTCGGGCACTTGCTGTCCCGGGCCCTTTGACCTTGATCGAAGTCTACAGAAGTCATCTTGAACGATTTCGGTGGTCCCTCCAACTAAACCCTCTAGAAGTTCTAGAAGACTCTAGAAAAGAGAGGCCGCCCTGTTCGGTAGGGGCCTTCAAGAATGCCATTGAGTCTTTCACTCCCTGCACACCGTTCTTCCACCAAGGCCCCGCATTCGAAGCTGGCTGGAATCAGGGCTCTGCTTGAGGTACAGCATAGGAACAGGAGTTTAACCTTACTGTGGTGAGGGTCCTGATTTAGAGCAACTGACTTAAGCATCTGTGGGGCTGCTCGAAAGGCGTGCTTCTGGCTGAGTCCGAGCGATCACGATGGCAGTAGCATGGACACGCATGAACACGGAGCTTTGAGGCACTGGTGCAACTGAAGTTTAAGATTTAGTTATGCAGGGGTTAGCCTGTAATCGTGTCGGAAACGAATTTCAAGACATACATAAATCAACATGTACCTGCACACGCAAAGATAGCCGGGATCAATGCTTTCCAACCGCAGGCCCTTCAGGCCTGAGCCCCTGAGGATGTTTCACAAAACCTGCAAGAGGTCATACATGCAGCACAGTCCGAATAACCTCAGGGCCCTTAACCCCCCTCTAGGCCGCGAGGCTGCATAGCGAAAACAAGCAGAGCCCCGACGTCCGAGCCAAAGCGCCATGAGCGACGTGCCAGCGCTGACGCCGCCGCCATGCCTGCCGGAGCCAAGGATGGGCTCTCGAGTTTGGGTTGCCTAGTTTTTGTGGGGACGCTACAAGAGCGTCCGAAAGCAACAAGCAGCATCCGAGTCGGAATCTTTGCCCCCGAAATCCTGAACGCCAGATTGAGGGCCCGCTCTTGCAAAGACTGGATGCAACAAAAAGGTAGGGCTTGACAAGTTTTCAGGGTTCAGGGCTTGGGCGCCACACCCTCACACTGTAGAACCTATACACTATACACACTGACAAGCCTAGCGGGGCTAGCGCTTGTAGCACGAAGAGTTATTCAGCCCTGACAACGGTGGATTATTTTGCCCTGAACCAACCCGAAACGTAGATGAAATCCGCCGGCAGGTGGAACAATGCCGAGATTCCTCCTGTCGACTGGGGCTTCTGTGAGAGAGTTCAGGATCGACGGGGATCTTTTGTCCGTGGTGTCCAGCCTTCAGGGCTCAGGTATCCACCGCTTGTGCGGGTGCCCACTATGTAGATTGGACGGCTCAAGAGCCCAGACATCCCAGACTCAGAGAAGTTTGTGGGAATCTATTTGGGGGTTGAAGCACGATTGGTCTGAAAGATGGGTGTTGGGTTGTCGCCTTGTGCAGATGTCACATGTTGCAGCAAGTACCTGGTATCTCCCAATCTCCCATTCTCGACACGTCTGGAGGCTTGCAAAGAAGCCCGTGACAGGGATCAACATGTTTTGTTGGATCTGAAGGTTACAAAGGTTGTAACACAGGCAGCAATTATGCTGGGGCTGTGCCCCGGGCAAATCCATGGAGTCCCGAAGCAAAAAATTATGCTGCGACTAGAAAGTCACGCAGGGAAAGACTAAAGACGACACAGGTCCTGTTCGCATTGAGGCACCTTCGTTCGTCTCACTATCGCTGGTCTAGCTGATTAGCTGCTATGCTGTGCCATCACCACCGCCAGGCTTCTTATCGTGGTTGTTGTGCGCCCTAAGCCTATAGACCCCAAATAGCTCCAGCCTCAGAAATGACGCCTAAGGTATGCAGCTGTTGCAGTTTTCTGACTTTCTGGCCGCGTGCCGGCGCACTGTGCCCTGGGCAGAGGCCGGCAAGGTTCCTGCCAAGTATCTTTGGCTTGGGGTATGGTTTGGGGTTAAGCTGGTATCGGTGCTGGCGTGTCGTCCCCAGTCAAGATGGCAGGTGGTGGCCTGGCTAGGTTTGAGTCCAGTAGCAGAGCGGGAAACCAACTCTCCAAATATGATTCTAAGCTCTGACTCGCTGATGCTGCCGTCTTTCATCGCCAAAGGCCCCGTTATGTCACCATAAGCTTGTATAACCCTTGTATTCTGCGACATCCAGACCCATCAAGGGATGAGGTGTTTCCATCGGGGTTTCTGGATTTTCATCAACTCGGAACCCAGCTTTCCTAGGGCTTGTGTGCGCGGAATCCTTATAGCTTCAACCTTTGCGGCCACTTAGGAAGCAGTCATCATCTCCCAATGATTCCTGCAGTCTTTCCAGGCACTGGAAGTGCCCGGCATCCCAAGCCTGTACGCAACCTGGTAGCCTCTGTGCTCCTGGAGCTGTGCGTGTTCTGTTTCTTGTTGTTGGTGCCAGTACAGGTGCCGCTGCTCGAGTTGTTCTTGCTTTTCCTATTCTTGCAGTCGCTGTCACTGTTGCCGTGGAGGTTGGCGCTGATGGTGAGTATGACGGTTGTAAAAAGAGGAAGATGGCAGGGTGTAAATGATGCGGTCACCAAAGGCCATACACAAATTTGGCTTATTTGCGACCCGAACCATAATCTGCCGACAACCCCGAAGCCTTGGCCGAAGAAAGGCCCTAAAGAGATGCGATATCGTTTAGAAATGGGAGTCGTGCAGCCTGTGAGGAAACGACCCGTAATGGAGATCCCGGGACTGAGGAACGCAGAGTCGTAGACTTCCAGCGTTGTGGCTCTATTCGTCGTCGCTGCTGGTGCTGGGTTGCTGTTGGTGTCGGTGTTGTTGCTCTTGTTACGGTTACGGTGGGTTATTGTACGTTAGTGTTGATGATGGTGTCGTCTTTGTCTGCCCTGGCACATCCCAGAACCATGCCCCTGGCAGCTCAGGTGATCGTGCCGTGGTTGCAAGAGACGGTCGCTGACGTGATCATATGGTAGCTCTTGCACTTGTACTTTCAAGCGGGGTTTGTGCTGAAGGCCTGCTCATGGAACTTGACACGTGAGATTGTTGACGTTGCACCCGACGAAATTCGAGATGGATCGTTCTGGTCCAGCCGGACAGAGAACATCGGACTTAAGGGGTGCGAGAAGTGTTTGTTTCCAAGCTCTGCGTACACCTTGGCGCCTTAGTGGCTTGGTGCACAACTGCAAGATGTCGGATCCTACAAAAGCTGAAGCATACATTGTAAAGCCCAGCTTTTTAGTGGAAGTTGCAAGTGCATCAAGAAGTAGATTATGAGCTGTGCCAGCTTTCGTGGGTGTAGAATGGCAATTTGTACTGAGTGCCTCAGAACCCAAGTTAACAAAACTTAGGAACTTAGGAATACTTACAAGGTTTCAGTTTCAGACGACCTGACAAAGGTTGAACATCTTGTCAAGCCGTGGACTCGAAACACGGGTTCCTTGGCTGGCATTTTTCAGGACATGAAGCGTGCCTTCGTCATTTGTGGAAACTTTCAGGAAACCTGCTATTTTGGCATACCGGGCTCTTTTTAGTTTCGCTGTAATGTGAAATTCTTGTTACACTGCTGAAGTGCTTGTCTGCAGTCGCAAGAAGGTGAATCGGAACGGCGAACGTTTGCAGAACGAAGAACCTCAGTTTTGGGGTGTTTTGCCTTTCAGCGGCCTCATCCACGCATCAGAGGCTGCAGCGTGGCACTGCGGATGAATCCTGAGAGTGCACAACGTGCCGACTCCCGCTGCAAATGGGGTCCTGAGGTGTCGAAGAGTGAAGTGAAGACAGTGGAATGACTCTCTTGATCTTGATCACAGTTTTTGGCAAACCGCCTCTCATGTATGGTTTTTGCCGGCCAGAGCGAAAATGCTTCCTGAGCAAAGATAGTTTGTTGGCATGTTCTTTGCCGGCACTCGACTTTAATATGTTCCGCTCATCTTCATGCACGAAGTGCATGGTTCGGGGCTTGATGAATGGCAATGAGCTGTATGTAAATTTACTCTCCATTGGTTGTCGTGTTTAGCTTGATCTTGAGCCTCGTTGGGCCTTCTTGCATCTGGCGCCTGGCACTTTTTGCCATGTGTTCCCTAACTGCTACTTACAACGCATCTGGGTCTGTCGAGAGATCAGGTTGAGAGGTCTCCGGCTGCAACTAGACTGTTGGAAGCATGGGGAAGCTGCACCTGCGCACATACAAGCATGAATGATCGTGAATGCTTCCACCCACGCATACTCTCAGACATGCTGTGCACATACATGTGCACGTACTTATGTTTGCACATGCTAATACGACTCACATGCTCGGCCTCGAGGAACTGATGGTCTCGCATTCCTGGGCCGAGAGCATGGACGAGTGCGAAGAAGCTTTGCACAAGTTCTACAAGCGCAACTTGTCGCTGCAAGTTCTTTTGCCAGAGGCAGGTTAGAGCCTCCGCCACACCATGTCCATGTCTGGCCTGCTTGGGGGCTCGATTCTAGGCAGTGCAAAACCTGCGGCCGTGTCTGGGCAGCCGCTTCTTCGAACAACTCCCCAAATCCGATCATACCCGAGACCTTTAAGCGAGCATTTTCAATATGCCATGTTCGTGCTGGAAGCTCGAACTATCATGAGGGTCAGAACGTTGATTTTTGGCTCAATGGGTTGGTGTTTATTCCTGAGCTGCGCGAGCTGTTTGCACAGCAGCGAAGCGATGGAGCCCTGACGCCTAAACCTTTTCCAAGCAGCCAAGAACTCTACCCACTGATTGCAGATCAGCACGCTCCTGGCTCAAATCCGGGTGTGCGCTTGCTTGTGTCAGGAATCCAAAGCTCCAAAGCCTTCTAGCTCTCATGATAGCGATAACAGAATGAAGAACGTTCAAAGGTCAAACGAGGTGGAGACCAGTGGTAGACCAGCACATATGCCGAATATTAATGTATTCACCTGTTCTCTCTGCCTTCGTCAATTCAAACCTTGCGGTCTCGGCGAATGGATATCTCGTCTTCTCAAAGACGGACTACTTGGCAGGCAAGGGAACTGCATGAGAGAGTGACCCCAGACCGCTGGTGCGTGACCCTTTCTGACCTGAAGTTCTTGAAGAGCAGTGTCGAGTCCTCAATCGACAGCGGGGCCATAAAGCCTCCGGCGAATGGGTCGGATGTCTTCAGCAGCGAGGATCGATTGTACGGTCCAAGCATCTACACCGTGACGGAGCAGCATATCAAGCCCGTGACAGCGCTCGCGGGCAAGATGAGCTGGGCTTTGATGCGGAATCCGAATGGCTTGGACTGCGATCTCTTCATCAGCCATGCCTGGCAGGAGGGTATCTTCGAGTTCATGTCGAAAGTCCTGCACTCCTGGCCGAGGTTCATGCGGCATGCTTGGTGCTGCATGCTAGCAAACCCCCAGCATCTGGACATCGCAGCAATGCTGCAGTCGCCCAGGCATTCACCTTTTGCAATCGCCTTGGAAGCTTCCAAGGTCGTTCTGGCAGTCCCCAATCGGTGCTGCTCAATTTATACACGACTATGGTGTGCTTATGAAGCTTACCTAGCGGAGGAGCAGGACAAGATCATATTAATTGCAAGGGCATCCAACAGATACGACATCTGTCAGTCGATGGTGAAAATGGCTTCGGCTGCCATTGTTGGGATGCTTCTGGGTTGGGCGATTAACTTTGGGCATGCGACGGTGACCTTCAACCTAGCCTCTCGGCAGGCTTGGAACGTTGTTCTTAGAGTTCTGCATGTTGCAAATGCATTTATCGTGTCACCATGCGTTTAACCCACAAGCATATACAGGCATCTGTTTCTGCACAAACAACAAAGTAGAAATTCAGTAGGATACTTACAGGTTTTAAGCGAGTTTAGGGTTCAGTATTTGTCGTCCACCACTGACACTATTCGTACAGTTTGCAACCTGTAAGTTCGTTGGCATCTGTACATAGCATGCTCCGGACCGGGCGATCCAAATCCATGTGCTCTGAAAACATTCGAGAGCCGTCTTCGCATGGGTCTTCCACCCTCAGCCGCAAAGGCCAAAAATACCTCCATCTTAAGATTTGCATAACAATAAGTGTTTCCACCATCCTATAGTGAGGAGCAGAAGCAATAGTTGAAGCCGTAAAGTCGAGGTTTTCTTATGCATCGCCACTGTGGCTGCTGCCTGGAGCATGGGAGCCTCGGCACCTTGTGAATCACGAAATCATGCAAGCCTGTCCAAGCACCATGCCTCCCGCGACTACCCCATGAGTCAGAAATTTGCAGCAGACTGTGGCAGCAGCACGATATGGCAGCACAAAACTCATGTGACTTCGGGATGCGGAAGAGCGCCGCGCTGCGGCGGGAGCGTGATTTTAGGAGGCGGAAACGCACGGTACAGCGGCGGCAAGAGGGATTCGCACCCCCAAAATCCGTATGGAAATGTGGCCCGAGGAGCTGAAACAAAGTGTGACCCTGCTACTCGTAGGACCTACTAGGACAAAACCACCCCGTGGCGGGAGAACGAGTTCCACCCCAAACATTCACGGCACTGTGGGGGAAGTTCAATTGAGCAGATGGTGTGGAAATGTGTGGTTCGCAGACCCGATTGCCTCGAGCCCTTAGCAGCCGAAACCCTACGTAAGAACCCCGCACTCGTAGAATCACCATTCACGTAATAAAACTCAACAACATCTGCTTTGCTTGCATGACCGCTTACTACCCAACCTGATACTACCCACGGCTGATTCTGCTACTGCAGCTAGTGCAACGACTAGGATAACAAGTCTTGGCAGCCATGGCATCAGCGACATGTTCAGCATATGCAGCGGTGACTCAGGGGATTCCGACAGAATTTCATGAGCGTTGCATGGCCCAGATCTGCTCAATCTGAGAATGAGAGGCACTACTCGCGATTGCCACCGGAAGTGGCTACATCTTCTCGGAGAGGCCAGATAGGGACTGGCTTGGCTTTTACACAGGTTCTGTTCCGGGGGTGATGAGTCGCCCTAGACCCTTAAACCCTCATTTTGCGCAGTCCGAGCCGTGAAAGCGTTAGCCCTGTGCACTGCATGCACACACACATCATGGTTGCATGTGTCTGAATGGTGTTTCGATCAGAAATCATCACATCTTGACGGTCAATAAGAAGCCCAAACAATGTGCCTGCAATGAGGCCTTGTGCTGGTTCTTGATCTTCGATTGGTACACAGTGCATGGCCAATGGGAGAAGACGTATGCGTACCTCCACCAATTTACTGCCTCCTGGATCGCATTGCTCGGCTTCCTGTGCATGTGATTATGGAATGCAGGTGCTCGGCTCCCTACAGCCCAACACGACTACATAAAACATCATGGGACTGCACAGATACTCGGCTGCTTCCTTCTTTCATTGAATCGTTTATTGCTTTGATGTGCCCCGGGCACCGGTGTTGAACTCACTTGTTTAACATCCTACCAAAGTCAGTTCGGAGCATCGCAGCATAACGCCACAAGCCGAGAACTGAAAACGGCTTAGTCTTTGAGATCTCCGTTTCAGGGTTTGGGGTGGTAGGCTTGAAGGTTTCAGGGGTTTGGAACGTCGAACGTTAAATGGGGGAGCGTGCCGTTTCTCGCATGCATTTGTCGCTGCTGGCTTGGACCTTCGAGGTGGGTTGTAAAGATGTCAGACACACCACAGCACCTTACTAACGAAGCTTCAGAGCCTCCGGAATGCAGTCAAGCCTTTGAGATGCTGCCTGAGCCCGCACCTCTTGCGTGGGGACAGCCTCAATGCCGAGAGGCTATCCAGCAGCGCCTGTGGCTGCTGCTCTTTGCAGGCTCGGGTTGGTTGGATACATACAACAGCATAAAAGAGGTCATGTATGTATGCATGTATGTATGCATGCAGGCATGGATGTACGTATGTACGTATATATAGATGTACGTACGTAAGTATGTATGTATGTATGCATGTATGTATGTATGTATGTATGCCCCTGTATATGTATGCATATCTACGTATATGTATGTATGTATTTATGAAAATATTTATGTATGTATGTATGTATGTGTGTATGTATGTATGTATGTATGTATGTATGTATGTATGTATTTATGTATGTATGTATGTATGTATGTATGTATATATATATGTATGTAAATGCATGTATGTAAATGCATGCATGTATGTATGTATGTATGTATGTATGTATGTATGTATGTAAATGTATGTATGTGATTGTATGTATGTATGCATGTATGTATGTAAATGTATGTATGTAAATGCATGTATGTATGTAAATGTATGTATGTATGTATATATGTATGCATGTATGCATGTATGTATGTATGTATGTATGTAAATGTATGCATGTACCGTATGTAAATTTATGCTAAATTTATGTATGTCTGTAAATGTATATGTGAATGTAAATGTACAAGTAAATGTAAGTATGTATGTATGTATGTACGTACGTATGTATGTAAATCTATGTCAATGCATGTGTCTGCGTGTATATGTATGTATATGTATGTATGTTTGTACATGTATGTATGTATGTATGTATGTATGTATGTATGTAAATGCATGTATGTGAATGTTTGTATGTATGTATGTATGTATGTATGTATGTATGTATGAAGATGTATGTATGTATAAGTATTTGCATATGTATGCATGTATGTATGTATGCAGGCATGGATGTGTGCAGGCATGTATGTATGTGTGTATATATATACATACATTCATACACCATTCGATTTGTCTGCTCTGCTGACTTCACCATACATGCATGCATGCATGCATAACCAGCAGGAGCAGGAGCAGCAGGAGCAGCAGCTGCAGGAGGATTAGTAGTAGCAGCAGTAGTAGTGGTGGTTGTAGTAGTAGTCGTCGCAGTAGTAGTAGTAGTAGTAGTAGTAGTAGTAGTCGTAGTAGTAGTAGCAGCAGCAGCAGTAGTAGTAGTAGTAGTAGAGGAGGAGTAGCAGCAGAAGTAGAGCTAGTGGTATTAGCAGCAGCAGCAGCAGCAGCTCCAGCCTCCTGTTTTCACGCCCGTCCCTTGTGCAACGCGAGAATGTGGATCACAAGCAGCAGCAGCAGCAGTAGGAGGCGTGTTTGGTACTGTCGTACTGGTACCAGTACGAGTACTGCTTACAGGTCGTCCGTTCCTCTGACTGATCTGTGGGCTGCGGCTGTTCACTGCGCGTTCTTGTTAGTGTGGGGAATCGCTGAATTATATTGGCCAGGGGGATAGTCGGCGTGGTAGTCCGGGTTGTAATCAACATCGGGCTTACCCGGGTCTTAGGGTTTGTTGGTTCGCATCCCGTGCTGCTTAGTCGCATAGGAACTCTGGTAACAGTTCGAAATTTCTGACATTCAGCAGTTGTGGGAAATAACGGTTGAAGGTGTCGGCTTGCACCTGAAAGCTCTGAACCTTGACATACCGTGGCAAGACCGTTTGATCATGTTTTGAGCGTCCGCTACAGTGCCCGCCGAGCGCCGTTGAGGTGCCTTCTGCTTCCTCGAGGTGGGAGGGCACAAACAGCGATACGATACTGCATTGGGCATGATGCGAGAGAGCATGTACTTACGGTTTCTTGGCGTGTCACTGTGCTGCTAGAGCTTCTAAAGACCACGGCTGACAAGGACCACGGCTACTCAGTTACTAGCCTCCTATCGACTTCTGCGACTCAACGACGACTAGGACCGCGCCCCACTGCGACGAAACGCCCATGACGACGACTACTACTTGAAGTATTGGTGCTGCTACTGCTTTGCCTGCCTTCTACTGTTGTCGTTTTCGGCTGCTTCTGGCTCCTCTTACCACTGCTCGCATTGTTGGTCGGGGGACGGCTCACAGTTGCTGCAGAGAGCACGAGAATCACATGGTGATTAACGACTGGTGGTTTCCTTTCCAGCATTCAGTTCAAAAGGCGGGCGCGGTCGTCGTGAGTCTGTTATGGGTCTGGTCTGTACGAAGCATGCAAACCTGTCAGGCTAAAGGAGTAGCCCCCAAAAACTCGCTTCATAATGCCTCTTTTTCGAAACATACCCGGAGCTCCAAAGCCGAGGGCCGTCCAAAAGCCCCGCGAAAGGGAAGTGCTCCTTGTAGCAATCAGGTTCCTGTTACATCCCAAACATATACGCAAAACACACACACACACATATATATATATATATATACACATTCATACACAAAGATCCACCAGGCATGTTTAACATTAGGGTCGGTTAGATTCCTAGATGACAAGATACAAAGATCTTTGTACAAGCAGGTTGTGTTAGGTTTTTGGGGCTTGCGGATTCTTATTACGTGAGAAAGCACATGAACGGGATGCGACCGCACCGTGGAAGGCGAAGGCAAACCTTGGTACCCGCGGGTATCTTCTTCTACGCTTTCCCTTCCCAGAGGCTCACCACAAATATGCAAGAGTTGTGGTGTGGTGGCTAGCTGAACCAGGGATGACCCCTTCACCTGCAAACCACACAAAACATGCCCGAGGCAGAACGAAACCCGTTTCCTCGCTTGAAATGAGCGGCTGAACCCCTGCCCTCAGCTCAAGCCGTGCAGTTCTCAACGCAACATATTCGACCTACCAGAAAGCGAGGACGGCCCTACAAGCCCTCCTCCAGAGCCTTCAACACCCACAAGAATACTCAATACATGCTTAGCATCCCAAGAAAGTCCCTTAGAAAAGGCTGTAACAGGTACAAGACGGGTTCAGAGTCTACACAGCATCAGGGATCGTGCCAGGTGGATCGCTTGAATGGTCTCGCAGCGCTTCAGGAGTCCGAGCAGTTGGGCCAAGGACTTTACCATCATGCGTTCTAAATTTCGCGTTATTCCTATTATTGATATCTTAGTGACATGTTTTCAGTATGATAACAGTTATCGTCATTGCGATTGTTACTATTTTCATTTGTTCCATCTATTAGTGTAACTAATTGCTAGCTATATTCGATTTGATCGTGATCATGATTGTTATTAGGATTATGATTATGATTTTTACTAGTACTACGAGTAGTAGTAGTAGTAGT